AATTGGGAGGGCAAGCTCACTACAAAATTTCAAATCGGTCACAAAAAGTTGAAGTATTAGAGCTTCTCAACCAAACGGCTGTTATTTTTTAGGTTTGTTTTTGTACATAGGCTAGATAATGTATATTTCCCTAGTCCAATTTGGTTTTCAAAATAGGTTTTTTATTTATTTTAGCCTTTTTCTTTTTAACTCAGCCTAAGTCAGATGCCCAATAGCTCACTACAAAATTTCAAATCGGTCACAAAAAGTTGAAGTATTAGAGCTTCTCAACCAAACGGCTGTTATTTTTTAGGTTTGTTTTTGTACATAGGCTAGATAATGTATATTTCCCTAGTCCAATTTGGTTTTCAAAATAGGTTTTTTATTTATTTTAGCCTTTTTCTTTTTAACTCAGCCTAAGTCAGATGCCCAATATGGAAAATTGCAGCCTGAACGGTTAAAAATTACTGTGATAATTGGGCAACCTTGTGTAATTTCCTGTAATCTAAGTGTAATATTTTTTGTTGTGCTGCTAACTATTACACTTTTGGCTTTCATCTGATTGGAATTCAAACTCAGAACATTGGTAAACAAAGTCCCAGCTCTGGCCAAGGCTGTAGGCATTAACTGAGAACTGACAGATTCATAGTTGGAAATCAAACCAGCTCACCTTTGTTAGTTTTTGTTCAAAATAGGTATTAGTCTTATGAGAAAGCAGTTAGAGTTTAGACTATGAAATGTTTGTAAATTGCTTCATGCGTTAATCTCACTTATAATGTCTGTATTCCATGTTTAAAAATGTCTGCTCTGAACTTGTGAACTCAGACAGGAAGAGTAGCTCCCACCCCATCCATCCAGGAGAACTATCAAACATTAAGTAGGCCATTGTAGGACTAAGCTTCTCCATTCACCCACAGATACGTCTGTGCAGAAGGCTTTGTGCTATCCACCTGAATACTGGAAGAGGGCAATACAATTAGCATGAAGATTTTTCATCTCTTTGCTGCTTGGAATCGCACAAGGGTGGGAGCTAAGAAACAAAGCAGAAATCCCCAGGGTTGACCTGAATTGAGCCTTAAAAATCATTCATAGTTAACAGATTGCAACATCTCTGTCACCTTTTGAATGGCAGACTGAAATTCATTTGTGTATATGTACTTTCCTGCTGTATGTTGCTCTTATTTCTGTTTCCTGGTTAATAAATCTTTAGATTATTACAGGTTTGGATTGGGGTAAGTGGTTGGTCTCTTGGGACTGGGAGCAACCTGAATATTTTGTGATTTTTGTGTAAGTAATCATTTATATTAATGATGTGGCAAGATACACTAGAGAGCCCAAGGGGATTTCCTGTGATTTCCAGATAAAACTGCTATAGTGATATAGGAATTCATATTAGTTACTGGATTGGTATAATCTAATTATGGAACATACCACCAGTTTGGGGTCTCTGCCCTGCTTCTGACAGTATGCCCTGATGCTGGCACTATTGGCCTTGAACTGTTCCAGGCAGCTCTGGGTTTTCTTTGCTCAGATATTTCTAAAATGCAGGATTGTTTCTAACTCTCATGCAGCTCTTGTCTCTGCTTCTGTTACTAAAAGCAGACAGAAAAGAGACCATGATCAGTGTGAGGGATTTGGAGCTGTTTAGCTGTTGAAGATCTCTGAAGTCATTTTGGATACTGTGTATTGTATGTTCATATAGACCAGAAATTCTGTGATAAGCAAGGAGGGAGGAATTCCCAATGAAATTAAACCAAGGCTCTTGGTTTTATTTGTGATTTCAGGAGAAATGTTTCCAGGCGGGTCTGGCTGACCCTTTCGTGGCATTTATGTTGCAAAAACTGAAGCTTTTATTTTGTTGTTATCTTGTGTGTTGTGTCAACTTCCATGTCATCCAATGAAACCTTTCTTTTTGGCTTTGTTGTTTAAAAATTCCTTTCTTTTGCTCTGCTGACCTCCTTTCTGTTGCAGAGCTTAATTGTACGTAACTGCTGTGGTTCGGCTACCTCTCTGGAGCAGAGCTGAATTAGTGTTTCAAAAAACATCGCTCCCTTGAAGCATACATTTGCTGTCTTTCATACAGTAAACTGAGAGGGTTACTCATGAAGGGTGTTGCTTTTGTCTAACTAAGACTCCATAGCAGCTTGGAATGACTCTGAGAGTTTCCTGGGCTCTGCCATTAAAAGATGTAGGTTCTGTTACAAGAGAATTATCTCCCTTGTAGCACCAGTGATTTACTCCATAATTGCTCCTGCTTGGAAGACAGGCTAACTGACTGTACTGCATCTGATTGCTGAATAGGGCTGTTGGTCTTTTGGTGGTTTTTTTCAAGTGAGGAGGAGAGGAACAGAGAGAGAGTGCACACCAAATGTACGTATGTGTGCCTACCATGGGGATGTGAATGATAATTATGAACAATTTTAAAGTGAGGTTGTTGTATGCCAAACTTCTTTGGGATCTTCTAGGTTAATAATTCCAGTCAGAGAGAGAAAGAGGCTAAAATAACCCACTTGCCCTGTCTGTAAAAAGTGTAATAAGAGAAAAGAGACAAAATCCCACCAGCATTTTTCCATAGTAGAGATTTGACAGGTTCTTTGCTCCCACATGTAAGGGAGACTGAACTGTGGAGTTTTTTCACAAACACAGTATCAGTATGTTAGGTGTGTGGAATACACAAAGGCACTCTAATGATTGGGGAGGGAAAGAACCACTGCTCCCTAACAAGCTAATATTATTTTCTTTTGATCTTGGGTTTGTGTTTTTTATAGGCATCTGGCCCATCTCTGCTTGTGATTGTGAAGATTGTGTAGTCCTTTGGACTCCTTATCTTTAAGGAATGGGTGGAACAGGTAGTCCCAGGAATCTGCAGTCACTAAGTGCAAGATTCTGTGTGGTCATTTAGCTCTGTATCTTGCAAACTGGAAATGTCACTGGAGCAAGGGGGAGTCTTTGGCAGCTGAACTTTGTACTGACTAGGCCTGCCTCTTGCAGAGGAAGCAGCTGCAGTTTCTAAAGGGCTTGCATGATATGCAAAGCAATAGCTCTGTTGTGCTGGATTATGTTTTAAGGAATCTGCTCTTTATAGTAGGTGACACATGCTTTGGGGCAAACTGAGATTGTGTGCTATAGATTTTAAAAAAGAAAACTCTGAACTTTTGCACAATATACATTTAATTTACCCGAGTGTTGGTTTTTTTTTTTTTTTTTTTTTTTTTTTACAATCATTACAGAGGCTTAAGACATTACTATGTTGTAAATGGAATAGGTTGTTTTAACTATTTATGTAAGCTCTCAAAGCTCTACCTTTGAGACAACAGAAATAACAAAGACTAAGGATGCATGTTTTGCGGTTGCGGGAAATGTCCCGCATGCGTTTATTAATGAGAAACTACTTTACTTTGAGTTACAATCCAAACTTCTTGTGAATGTACAGTCAGAAGGGGACATGGCAGGAATTCAATATGACACAAACAGAAAGACTAGTAGAGGGGCAAAGTTATGAAAATCCTTATGATAAGGACAAGAATTATATACTTTATGCAGTGGAAAGGAGTAGTGCAGTTTTGAAGGGTCATAGTACTACATCAGTGTGCACTAAGGAACTTGTAGTCCTCGCTACCAGGGTCCCACGGACAGTTAGTGTGTGATGCTCTTGTCTGTTCTAGAATTTATACCATAGCTGAGATGCAATAATGAATTGTGTAGACAAACCCTAAGAGCATGAAAATCTGGAAGAGTTTGAGCTTCATTTGCTACTCAAGATTTCTTTTACTTAATGGTTATGTAAAAGTTAATATTATACATTAATATTTTTAGGCCCATAGAAGACTGGCGAAGAGCTACATTTCTGTTGGTACCCTCTTTTGCCAGCAACATTTCTGAACTTTTTCTGTGTTGAAAACAAAACCAAATGTAAATTTGCTCCTTTTTCCAGCTTCTGATCCCTAGTATGTACCAACTTGTGTGGTACATTTGTGTGTCCAGAGCCAGAATACTCTGAAAGCACTGTCTGTTAGCTCACACGTTCACTCTGACATACCTCTTGTCTCAAAGTGATAAAGGGCAGGGCAGACAGATCACCTCTCCATTTCTGACTCTCTGCTTCACAGTCTAGGCCGGAACTCTAGTGTCCAAAGCTTCAACTCTCTATTTATTTGTAAAAATATATTTTGATACCTGTATTTAGCTCTGCTATCAGCTGTCTAATCTTCCCTCTCCTCAGAATAAGAGCTCATTCCACAAGAGCATAAGAACTATCTATGGCATTGCTTCAAGAGGTGTCTCATTGATACTCATAAATCCACGTTTTCATGACACTTTTCATGACACTCAGTCCACATGTTTTCTAGACATTTCAGTATAGGATTCCTCTGATGATGTATCTTTTGGAACAGCAGTCCTTCATTTATCTGTCATCTGTGACCTTGAATCGTTCTCCTGTTTGAGTCCTGCTTATCAGTCACCCATTGTGGAATACACCTAGGAAGCAGCACTGGAAGAAGAAGAGAAAGTTATGTACAGTAACTGGAGATTCTTTTTCGAGTGGTCCCAGGGGGTGCTCCACTCTAGGTGTTGAGCTTATCCCGGTGCTGCTGGTCAGAAGTTT